AAGCTCCCCCAGGTAGCCTCTAGCAAGGCTGTAGGGTCAAGTGCTGTTAGCCAGCACACGCAGGCAAAGGTCCCCCAGGTAGCCTCTGGCAGGGCTGCAGGGGCAAGTGCTGAGACACACACAAAGGTCCCCCAGGTAGCCTCTAGCAGGGCCGCAGGGGCAAGTGCTGTTAGCCAGCACACGCAGACAAAGGTCCCCCAGGTAGCCTCTGGCAGGGCCGCAGGGGCAAGTGCTGTTAGCCAGCACACGCAGACAAAGGTCCCCCAGGTAGCCTCTAGCAAGGGATGTAGGGGCAAGTGCTGAGACACAGACAAAGCTCCCCCAGGTAGCCTCTAGCAAGGGCTGTAGGGGCAAGTGCTGAGACACAGACAAAGCTCCCCCAGGTAGCCTCTAGCAAGGGATGTAGGGGCAAGCGCTGAGACACAGACAAAGCTCCCCCAGGTAGCTTCTAGCAGGGCTGTAGGGGCCAAGTGTTGAGACAAAGACAAAGCTCCCCCAGGTAGCCTCTAGCAGGACTGCAGGGGCAAGTGCTGAGACACAGACAAAGCTTCCCCAGGTAGCTTCTAGCAGGGCTGTAGGGGGCAAGTGCTGAGACACACACAAAGGTCCCCCAGGTAGCCTCTAGCAGGGCTGCAGGGGCAAGTGCTGAGACACAGACAAAGCTCCCCCAGGTAGCTTCTAGCAGGGCTGTAGGGGGCAAGTGCTGATACACAGACAAAGCTCCCCCAGGTAGCCTCTAGCACGGGCTGTAGGGGCAAGTGCTGAGACACAGACAAAGATCCCCCAGGTAGCTTCTAGCAGGGCTGTAGGGGGCAAGTGCTGAGACACAGACAAAGGTCCCCCAGGTAGCTTCTAGCAGGGCTGTAGGGGGAAAGTGCTGAGACACAGACAAAGATCCCCCAGGTAGCCTCTAGCAGGGCCGCAGGGGCAAGTGCTGTTAGCCAGCACATGCAGACAAAGGTCCCCCAGGTTAGCCTCTGGCAGGGATGCAGGGGCAAGTGCTGTTAGCCAGCACACACAGACAAAGGTCCCCCAGGTAGCCTCTGGCAGGGCCGCAAGGGGCAAGTGCTGTTAGCCAGCACACGCAGGCAAAGGTCCCCCAGGTAGCCTCTGGCAGGGCCGCAGGGGCAAGTGCTGTAGTAGTAGCTACTACTACATATGTAGTAGTGTAGCTACTACTACATATGTAGTAGTGTAGCTACTACTACATATGTAGTAGTGTAGCTACTACTACATATGTAGTAGTGTAGCTTCTACTACACTACTCATATGTTATTACTACTACATATGTAGTAGTAGCTACCACTACATATGTAGCTACTACTACATATGTAGTAGTGTAGCTACTACTACACTACTACATTATTTAAATTACATTATTTCATTTAATTTCATTTAAAGAAATTAAATTAAATTATTTAAATTTAATTATTTCAAAAAATTTCGTTAAAGTCACGGAACGAGAAATTAAATTAAATTATTCAAATTTAATTATTTCATTTAATTTCATTTAAATAAATTAAATTAAAATATTTCATTTAATTTCATTTAAAGAAATTAAATTGTTCAAATTAAATTATTTCATTTAATTTCATTTAAAGAAATTAAATAAAATTATTTAAATTAAATTATTTCATTTAATTTCATTTAAAGAAATTAAATTAAATTATTTAAATCAAATAATTTCAGTAAATTTCGTTAAAGTCACGGAGAGAGAAATTAAATTATTTAATTTCATTTAAAGAAATTATATTCAATTATTTAAATCAAATTATTTCAGTAAATTTCGTTAAAGTCACGGAGAGAGAAATTAAAGTAAATTATTTCATTTAATTTCATTTAAAGAAATTATATTCAATTATTTAAATCAAATTATTTCAGTAAATTTCGGTAAATTCACGGAGAGTAGAAATTATTTTTTTTTAAAAATATTTCATTCAATTTCATCCAAAGAAATTAAATTAAATGATTCAAGTTAAATTATTTCACGTAATTTATTTCTACGTGACTTTACCGAAAGAACCAAAGAGTGGAACACATTTTAAAAAAAACTAAAATTTAAAAACCCGTTAGGGTGGATCACGTGCGGGTCTCTATCGAGAAATAATTTCTGACGAACTCTCCAGAGCACGCACCGTTTGTCCACGCCAGCGTTGGCTGCTGGTGCTGGTGCTGCTGGTGGTGCTGGTGGTGGTGGTGCTGCTGGTGGAAGATCGCCGTCTTGATGAGCTCCTGAGACTTGACGCACCACACGTTGCGGTGACGCAGAGCCGTGCTCAGCAGCGACCTGGCGACGCGCACACACACACACAGACACACACACAGACAGATACATACATACATACAGATACACACACAGACACACACACACACAGACACACACACATACAGACACACACAGATACACACACACACAGACACACACACACATACATACAGACACAGACATACACACACAGACACATACACATACATACACACATACATACAGACATAGACACACACAGACATACAGACACACACACACACAGATACACACACACACATACAGACACACACACACACAGACACACACATACAGACACACACAGACACACATACATACATACAGATACACACACAGACACACACATACACACACACATACACGCAGATACACACACACACATACACACACACACATACACACACACATACACACATACACACACACATACACACACACGCACACATACAGACACACACACATACAGACACACACACATACAGACACACACACATACAGACACACACACATACACACACAGACACACATACATACACACACATACACACAGACATACACACACAGACATACACACACAGACATACACACACAGACATACACACACACATACACACACACAGACATACACACACGCACACGCACAGACATACACACACATACAGACACACACACACATACAGACACACACAGACACACAGATACACACATACATACATACACACATACACACAGATACACACATACACACATACACAACAACAACCGCCATTCGCCACTAAGTGGCGGTGACGTCACCACGACGCTTGTGCCAGGCTATGTGCACCCTGAGGCCACGTGAAGTGTCGAACGCCCGCTGGCAGGAGGTCACAGGGCAGACCCAGGTGCCACGGGTCAACTGACTGAGATGACTGGCTGATGCACCACCATCAGTAGGCCTGGGCTCTGGGTTGTTCTTCGTGCTTTTGGAGTACCTGACCCTCTGCTCACGATCATTAAGGACCTTCATGATGGTGAGCGGGCCCGGGTAAAACTACGTGGCCGGGAGTCGGAGCCATTCCCTGTACACCTTGGGGTGCGACAGGGATGTCCTCTGGCTCCCACATTATTTAACATCTATTTTGACCACATAGTTCGTGAAGCCTTCAATAGCTGTACCGGGGGAATCTCCATATGGTACAGATATAATGGGAGGCTGATCGACGCCCGGGTGCGGTCAAGGGATGGCTCCCTATTGCTCAACCACGTTATGTATGCTGATGATTTGGTAATAGCTGCTCAGTCAGAGGAGGAGTTGGAGACGCTGCTGCTGAGACTGGAGCATGCCACTAAGAGGTGCGGCCTTACCATCAGCCCCACCAAAACTAAGCACCTGCCTGGGTATGTTGTACCATCAGACACTCCACCCCCACAACTCCCAATCGGTGATGGGGCAGTTGTGGAGAGAGTGGAGAGTTTCCCATACCTGGGCAGTGTGCTTATGACCGGCTCCAGTTTAACAGCAGAGGTTTCACTCCGAATCAGTCGAGCGGCAATATCTTTTCATCGGTTGCGTAACGCTGTGTGGGAGCTACCTGGTCTGTCGCTCCGCACTAAGCTTCAGGTCTTCTCGGCCACGGTCATTCTCTCCCTTCTCTACGCTTGCGAAACGTGGACCCCCCTAATGGAACATCTTCGCCGGTTAGAAACATTTAGGCTGGCCTGCCTACGATCCATCCTGGGTTTAACCAGACTGGATTGTGTGAGGAGCTCACAAATCCTTGAAAGATCTGGGCAAGGTCCCATCGGTGAGCTCCTCTGGCGGGGAAGGCTGCGATGGCTGGGTCATGTAGCCCGCATGCCCAGCCACCGCATGCCGAAACAGCTTTTGTTCGGCCGGATTGAGGGGGCTAAGCGGGCGCGGCATGGGCTAGAGAAGAGATGGAGTGATGTGGTACAGGAGGACGTGGAGCTGAATGGACATGCCGATGACTGGTACCAGCGGTGTCAAGATCGGCCTCTGTGGAGGAGGCTCGTGAAGGATGCTACTGGGCAGTTGGAGGCAGTCGCCCTCCAACAACAACGGAGGGCGGAGGAGCGACGCTCACAACAACGAGCGGAGCGCCGGGTGGCTAAAGCACAGCAGGTTGGCACAGTAGGGGGCACAGTTGGTGCATCAGCCAGTCATCTCAGTCAGTCGACCCGTGGCACCTGGGTCTGCCCCGTGACCTCCTGCCAGCGGGCGTTCGACACTTCACGTGGCCTCAAGGTGCACATGGCCTGGCACAAGCGTCGTGGTGACGTCACCGCCACTTAGTGGCGAATGGCGGTTGTTATTGTTGTGTGTGTCTATGTATGTGTGTGTGTATGTATGTGTGTCTATGTATGTGTGTGTGTATGTCTGTGTGTGTCTATGTATGTGTGTATGTGTGTGTGTCTATGTCTGTGTGTGTGTCTATGTATGTGTGTGTCTATGTGTGTGTGTGTCTATGTGTGTGTGTGTCTATGTATGTGTGTCTGTGTATGTGTGTGTCTATGTATGTGTGTCTGTGTGTGTGTCTATGTGTGTGTGTGTCTATGTATGTGTGTGTGTCTATGTATGTGTGTGTGTCTATGTATGTGTGTGTGTCTATGTATGTGTATGTCTATGTATGTGTGTGTGTGTCTGTGTGTGTGTCTATGTATGTGTGTGTCGATGTATGTGTGTGTGTGTCTATGTATGTGCGTGTGTGTCTGTGTATGTGTCTGAGTATGTGTGTGTCTATGTATGTGTGTGTGTCTATGTATGTGTGTGTCTATGTATGTGTGTGTCTATGTGTGTGTGTGTCTATGTATGTGTGTGTCTATGTATATGTGTGTATGTGTCTATGTATGTGGGTGTGTGTCTATGTATGTGTGTGTCTATGTATGTGTATGTATATATGTCTATGTATGTGGGTGTGTGTCTATGTGTGTGTCTGTCTATGTATGTGTGTGTCTATGTATGTGTGTGTGTGTCTATGTATGTGTGTGTGTGTCTATGTATGTGTGTGTGTCTATGTATGTATGTCTATGTATGTGTGTGTGTCTATGTATGTGTGTGTGTCTATGTATGTGTGTGTGTCTATGTGTGTGTGTGTGTCTATGTGTGTGTGTGTCTATGTGTGTGTGTCTGTGTACGTCACTGACCCTACAAACGCGTGCGTGGACTCCTCCATGAGCTGTCCCAGCGGTAGCAAGTACGGACCACGAGACCAGGTCACAGCACCACCACAACCACTACCACCACAACCACCACCACCACAACCTCCACCACAACCACCACAACCACTACCATCACCACCACAACCACCACTACCACCACAACCACCACCACCTCCACCATAACCACTACCATCACCACCACCACAACCACTACCATCACCATCACCACAACCACTACCATCACAACCTCCACCACAACCAAGACCACTACCACCACCACTACCATCACCACCACCACAACTTAGACCACTACCACCACCACTACCATCACCACCACCACCACCACAATCACCTCCACCACTAACACCTCCACCACTAACACCTCCACCACAACCACTACCATCACCACCACCACCACAACCAAGACCACTACCACCACTACCACTACCATCACCACCACCACCAGAACAATCACCTCCACCACAACCACCATCACCACATCCACCACCACCACAACAACCACCACCACCGCTCAGCAACAGCATCACGCCCGATGAACTTGGCCAATGGTAGTCCTGTGGAAAGACAAAGATCCCCCAGGTAGCCTCTAACACGACTGTAGGGGCAAGTGCTGTTAGTAGTGGCGAGTAGACGCAGACAAAAGTCCAACCAGGTAGCCTTCATAGGTGCTGCTACTCGCTGCTTCGAACAAGCACTTGCCCCTACAGCCCTGCTAGAGGCTACCTGGGGGAGCTTTGTCTGTGTCTCAGCACTTGCCCCTACAGCCCTGGTAGAGGCTACCTGGGGGAGCTTTGTCCGTGTCTCAGCACTTGCCCCTACAGCCCTGCTAGAGGCTACACGGGGGATCTTTGTCTGTGTCTCAGCACTTGCCCCTACAGCCCTGCTGGAGACTACCTGGGGGAGCTTTGTCTGTCTCATCACTTGCCCCTACAGCCCTGCTAGAGGCTACCTGGGGGAGCTTTGTCTGTGTCTCAGCACTTGCCCCTACAGCCCTGCTGGAGGCTACCTGGGGGACCTTTGCCTGTGTCTCAGCACTTGCCCCTACAACCCTGCTAGAGGCTACCTGGGGGAGCTTTGTCTGTGTCTCAGCACTTGCCCCTACATCCCTGCTGGAGGCCACCTGGGGGACCTTCGTCTGTGTCTCAGCACTTGCCCCTACATCCCTGCTAGAGGCTACCTGGGGGACCTTTGCCTGTGTCTCTGTGCGTGCGCGTGTTGCACCGCCGACTTTGGTCAGTGGCAGGGCGTAGGAGTCGCCCTGCACGGGCACCATGCCCAGGTGCCTCGCTCCCCCGTCTCTCACCACGGGCACCATGACCACGTGGGACGCTCCCCCGTCTCTCACCACGGGCACCATGCCCAGGTGGCTCGCTCCCCCGTCTCTCACCACGGGCACCATGACCACTGTGAGACGCTCCCCCGTCTCTCACCACGTGCACCATGACCACTGTAAGACCCTCCCCCGTCTCTCACCATGGGCACCATGCCCACTGTGAGACGCTCCCCCGTCTCTCACCACGGGCACCATGACCACTGTGAGACGCTCCCCCGTCTCTCACCACGGGCACCATGACCACTGTGAGACGCTCCCCCGTCTCTCACCACGGGCACCACGACCACTGTGAGACGCTCCCCCGTCTCTCACCACGGGCACCATGACCACTGTGAGACGCTCCCCCGTCTCTCACCACGGGCACCATGACCACTGTGAGACGCTCCCCCGTCTCTCACCACGGGCACCATGCCCACTGTGAGACGCTCCCCCGTCTCTCACCACGGGCACCATGACCACTGTGAGACGCTCCCCCGTCTCTCACCACGGGCACCATGACCACGTGAGACGCTCCCCCGTCTCTCACCACGGGCACCATGCCCACGTGAGACGCTCCCCCGTCTCTCACCACGGGCACCATGACCACTGTGAGACGCTCCCCCGTCTCTCACCACGGGCACCATGACCACTGTGAGACGCTCCCCCCGTCTCTCACCACGGGCACCATGACTACTGTGAGACGCTCCCCCGTCTCTCACCACGGGCACCATGACCACGTGAGACGCTCCCCCCGTCTCTCACCACGGGCACCATGACCACTGTGAGACGCTCCCCCGTCTCTCACCACGGGCACCATGCCCACGTGAGACGCTCCCCCGTCTCTCACCACGGGCACCATGACCACTGTGAGACGCTCCCCCGTCTCTCACCACGGGCACCATGCCCACGTGAGACGCTCCCCCGTCTCTCACCACGGGCACCATGCCCACTGTGAGACGCTCCCCCGTCTCTCACCACGGGCACCATGACCACTGTGAGACGCTCCCCCGTCTCTCACCACGGTCACCATGCCCACGTGAGACGCTCCCCCGTCTCTCACCACGGTCACCATGACCACTGTGAGACGCTCCCCCGTCTCTCACCACGGGCACCATGACCACGTGAGACGCTCCCCCGTCTCTCACCACGGGCACCACGACCACTGTGAGACGCTCCCCCATCTCTCACCACGGGCACCATGACCACTGTGAGACGCTCCCCCGTCTCTCACCACGGGCACCATGACCACGTGGGACGCTCCCCCGTCTCTCACCACGGGCACCATGCCCACGTGAGACGCTCCCCCGTCTCTCACCACGGGCACCATGACCACGTGAGACGCTCCCCCGTCTCTCACCAGGGGCACCATGACCACTGTGAGACGCTCCCCCGTCTCTCACCACGGGCACCATGACCACTGTGAGACGCTCCCCCGTCTCTCACCACGGGCACCATGACCACTGTGAGACCCTCCCCCGTCTCTCACCATGGGCACCATGGCCACGTGAGACGCTCCCCCGTCTCTCACCACGGGCACCATGACCACTGTGAGACGCTCCCCCGTCTCTCACCACGGGCACCACGACCACGTGAGACGCTCCCCCGTCTCTCACCACGGGCACCATGACCACTGTGAGACGCTCCCCCGTCTCTCACCAGGGGCACCATGACCACTGTGAGACGCTCCCCCGTCTCTCACCACGGGCACCATGACCACTGTGAGACGCTCCCCCGTCTCTCACCACGGGCACCATGACCACGTGGGACGCTCCCCCGTCTCTCACCACGGGCACCACGACCACGTGAGACGCTCCCCCGTCTCTCACCACGGGCACCATGACCACTGTGAGACGCTCCCCCGTCTCTCACCACGGGCACCATGACCACGTGAGACGCTCCCCCGTCTCTCACCACGGGCACCATGCCCACGTGAGACGCTCCCCCCGTCTCTCACCACGGGCACCATGACCACGTGAGACGCTCCCCCGTCTCTCACCACGGGCACCATGACCACTGTGAGACGCTCCCCCGTCTCTCACCACGGGCACCACGACCACGTGAGACGCTCCCCCGTCTCTCACCACGGGCACCATGACCACTGTGAGATGCTCCCCCGTCTCTCACCACGGGCACCATGACCACTGTGAGACGCTCCCCCGTCTCTCACCACGGGCACCATGACCACTGTGAGACGCTCCCCCGTCTCTCACCACGGGCACCATGACCACTGTGAGACGCTCCCCCGTCTCTCACCACGGGCACCATGCCCACTGTGAGACGCTCCCCCGTCTCTCACCAGGGGCACCATGACCACTGTGAGACGCTCCCCCGTCTCTCACCACGGGCACCATGCCCACGTGAGACGCTCCCCCGTCTCTCACCACGGGCACCATGCCCACGTGAGACGCTCCCCCGTCTCTCACCACGGGCACCATGCCCACGTGAGACGCTCCCCCGTCTCTCACCACGGGCACCATGCCCACGTGAGACGCTCCCCCGTCTCTCACCACGGGCACCATGACCACGTGAGACGCTCCCCCGTCTCTCACCACGGGCACCATGACCACTGTGAGACGCTCCCCCGTCTCTCACCACGGGCACCATGACCACTGTGAGACGCTCCCCCGTCTCTCACCACGGGCACCATGACCACTGTGACACGCTCCCCCGTCTCTCACCACGGGCACCACGACCACGTGAGACGCTCCCCCGTCTCTCACCACGGGCACCATGACCACTGTGAGACGCTCCCCCGTCTCTCACCACGGGCACCATGACCACTGTGAGACGCTCCCCCGTCTCTCACCACGGGCACCATGACCACGTGAGACGCTCCCCCGTCTCTCACCACGGGCACCATGACCACTGTGAGACGCTCCCCCGTCTCTCACCACGGGCACCATGACCACTGTGAGACGCTCCCCCGTCTCTCACCACGGGCACCATGCCCACGTGAGACGCTCCCCCGTCTCTCACCACGGGCACCATGCCCACGTGAGACGCTCCCCCGTCTCTCACCACGGGCACCATGACCACTGTGAGACGCTCCCCCGTCTCTCACCACGGGCACCATGCCCACGTGAGACGCTCCCCCGTCTCTCACCACGGGCACCATGCCCACGTGAGACGCTCCCCCGTCTCTCACCCCGGGCACCATGCCCACGTGAGACGCTCCCCCGTCTCTCACCACGGGCACCATGCCCACGTGAGACGCTCCCCCGTCTCTCACCACGGGCACCATGACCACTGTGAGACGCTCCCCCGTCTCACACCACGGGCACCATGCCCACGTGAGACGCTCCCCCGTCTCTCACCACGGGCACCATGCCCACGTGAGACGCTCCCCCGTCTCTCACCACGGGCACCATGACCACGTGAGACGCTCCCCCGTCTCTCACCACGGGCACCATGCCCACGTGAGACGCTCCCCCGTCTCTCACCACGGGCACCATGCCCACTGTGAGACGCTCCCCCGTCTCTCACCACGGGCACCATGACCACTGTGAGACGCTCCCCCGTCTCTCACCACGGGCACCATGACCACTGTGAGACGCTCCCCCGTCTCTCACCACGGGCACCATGCCCACTGTGAGACGCTCCCCCGTCTCTCACCACGGGCACCATGACCACGTGAGACGCTCCCCCGTCTCTCACCACGGGCACCATGCCCACGTGAGACGCTCCCCCGTCTCTCACCACGGGCACCATGACCACTGTGAGACGCTCCCCCGTCTCTCACCACGGGCACCATGACCACTGTGAGACGCTCCCCCGTCTCTCACCACGGGCACCATGACCACTGTGAGACGCTCCCCCGTCTCTCACCACGGGCACCATGACCACTGTGAGACGCTCCCCCGTCTCTCACCACGGGCACCATGACCACTGTGAGACGCTCCCCCGTCTCTCACCACGGGCACCATGACCACTGTGAGACGCTCCCCCGTCTCTCACCACGGGCACCATGACCACTGTGAGACGCTCCCCCGTCTCTCACCACGGGCACCATGACTACTGTGAGACGCTCCCCCGTCTCTCACCACGGGCACCATGACTACTGTGAGACGCTCCCCCGTCTCTCACCACGGGCACCATGACCACGTGAGACGCTCCCCCGTCTCTCACCACGGGCACCATGACCACTGTGAGACGCTCCCCCGTCTCTCACCACGGGCACCATGACTACTGTGAGACGCTCCCCCGTCTCTCACCAGGGGCACCATGACCACGTGGGACGCTCCCCCGTCTCTCACCACGGGCACCATGACCACTGTGAGACGCTCCCCCGTCTCTCACCACGGGCACCATGCCCACTGTGAGACGCTCCCCCGTCTCTCACCACGGGCACCATGCCCACGTGAGACGCTCCCCCGTCTCTCACCACGGGCACCATGACCACTGTGAGACGCTCCCCCGTCTCTCACCACGGGCACCATGCCCACGTGAGACGCTCCCCCGTCTCTCACCACGGGCACCATGCCCACGTGAGACGCTCCCCCGTCTCTCACCAGGGGCACCATGACCACGTGAGACGCTCCCCCGTCTCTCACCAGGGGCACCATGCCCACGTGAGACGCTCCCCCGTCTCTCACCACGGGCACCATGCCCACGTGAGACGCTCCCCCGTCTCTCACCACGGGCACCATGACCACTGTGAGACGCTCCCCCGTCTCTCACCACGGGCACCATGACCACGTGAGACGCTCCCCCGTCTCTCACCACGGGCACCATGACTACGTGAGACGCTCCCCCGTCTCTCACCACGGGCACCACGACCACGTGAGACGCTCCCCCGTCTCTCACCACGGGCACCATGACCACTGTGAGACGCTCCCCCCGTCTCTCACCACGGGCACCATGACCACGTGAGACGCTCCCTCGTCTCTCACCACGGGCACCATGACCACTGTGAGACGCTCCCCCGTCTCTCACCACGGGCACCATGACCACGTGAGACGCTCCCCCGTCTCTCACCACGGGCACCATGACTACGTGAGACGCTCCCCCGTCTCTCACCACGGGCACCATGACCACGTGAGACGCTCCCTCGTCTCTCACCACGGGCACCATGACCACGTGAGACGCTCCCCCGTCTCTCACCACGGGCACCATGACCACGTGAGACGCTCCCTCGTCTCTCACCACGGGCACCATGACCACGTGAGACGCTCCCTCGTCTCTCACCACGGGCACCATGCCCACGTGAGACGCTCCCCCGTCTCTCACCAGGGGCACCATGACCACGTGAGACGCTCCCCCGTCTCTCACCACGGGCACCATGACCACTGTGAGACGCTCCCCCGTCTCTCACCACGGGCACCATGACCACTGTGAGACGCTCCCCCGTCTCTCACCACGGGCACCATGCCCACGTGAGACGCTCCCCCGTCTCTCACCACGGGCACCATGACCACTGTGAGACGCTCCTCCGTCTCTCACCACGGGCACCATGACCACTGTGAGACGCTCCCCCGTCTCTCACCACGGGCACCATGACCACTGTGAGACCCTCCCCCGTCTCTCACCACGGGCACCATGACCACTGTGAGACGCTCCCCCGTCTCTCACCACGGGCACCATGACCACTGTGAGACGCTCCCCCGTCTCTCACCACGGGCACCATGACCACTGTGAGACGCTCCCCCGTCTCTCACCACGGGCACCATGACCACGTGAGACGCTCCCCCGTCTCTCACCACGGGCACCATGACCACGTGAGACGCTCCCCCGTCTCTCACCCCGGGCACCATGACCACTGTGAGACGCTCCCCCGTCTCTCACCACGGGCACCATGACCACTGTGAGACGCTCCCCCGTCTCTCACCAGGGGCACCATGACCACTGTGAGACGCTCCCCCGTCTCTCACCACGGGCACCATGACCACTGTGAGACGCTCCCCCGTCTCTCACCACGGGCACCATGACCACTGTGAGACGCTCCCCCGTCTCTCACCACGGGCACCATGACCACGTGAGACGCTCCCCCGTCTCTCACCACGGGCACCATGACCACGTGAGACGCTCCCCCGTCTCTCACCACGGGCACCATGACCACTGTGAGACGCTCCCCCGTCTCTCACCACGGGCACCATGACCACTGTGAGACGCTCCCCCGTCTCTCACCAGGGGCACCATGACCACGTGGGACGCTCCCCCGTCTCTCACCACGGGCACCATGACCACTGTGAGACCCTCCCCCGTCTCTCACCACGGGCACCATGACCACGTGGGACGCTCCCCCGTCTCTCACCACGGGCACCATGACCACTGTGAGACGCTCCCCCGTCTCTCACCACGGGCACCACGACCACTGTGAGACGTTCCCCCGTCTCTCACCACGGGCACCATGACCACTGTGAGACGCTCCCCCGTCTCTCACCACGGGCACCATGACCACGTGGGAAGCTCCCCCGTCTCTCACCACGGGCACCATGACCACTGTGAGACGCTCCCCCATCTCTCACCACGGGCACCATGACCACTGTGAGACGCTCCCCCGTCTCTCACCACGGGCACCATGACCACGTGAGACGCTCCCCCGTCTCTCACCACGGGCACAATGACCACTGTGAGACGCTCCCCCGTCTCTCACCACGGGCACCATGACCACGTGAGACGCTCCCCCGTCTCTCACCACGGGCACCATGACCACGTGAGACGCTCCCCCGTCTCTCACCACGGTCACCATGACTACGTGAGACGCTCCCCCGTCTCTCACCACGGGCACCATGACCACTGTGAGACGCTCCCCCGTCTCTCACCACGGGCACCATGACCACGTGAGACGCTCCCCCGTCTCTCACCACGGGCACCATGACCACGTGAGACGCTCCCCCGTCTCTCACCACGGGCACCATGACCACTGTGAGACGCTCCCCCGTCTCTCACCACGGGCACCATGACCACTGTGAGACGCTCCCCCGTCTCTCACCACGGGCACCATGACCACGTGAGACGCTCCCCCGTCTCTCACCACGGGCACCATGACCACGTGAGACGCTCCCCCGTCTCTCACCACGGGCACCACGACCACTGTGAGACGCTCCCCCGTCTCTCACCATGGGCACCATGACCACTGTGAGACGCTCCCCCCGTCTCTCACCACGGGCACCATGACCACGTGGCTGGCTCCCCCGTCTCTCACCACGGGCACCATGCCCACGTGAGACGCTCCCCCGTCTCTCACCACGGGCACCATGACCACGTGAGACGCTCCCCCGTCTCTCACCACGGGCACCACGACCACGTGAGACGCTCCCCCGTCTCTCACCACGGGCACCATGACCACTGTGAGACGCTCCCCCGTCTCTCACCACGGGCACCATGACCACTGTGAGACGCTCCCCCGTCTCTCACCACGGGCACCATGACCACTGTGAGACGCTCCCCCGTCTCTCACCACGGGCACCATGCCCACGTGAGACGCTCGCCCAACCGCTCGCAGGAGGCTGGCACGGCCCTCCACGGACAGCTCCAGCACCGAGGTCACCGCTCCTCCTCCTCCCGGCACTCCCACGGGCACCGCTCCTCCTCCTCCACCTCTTCCTCCACCTCTTCCTCCATCTCCTCCTCCTCCTCCTCCTCCTCCACCTCCTCCTCCACCTCTTCCTCCACCTCCTCCTGGCACTCCCACGGGCACCGCTCCTCCTCCTCCACCTCTTCCTCCATCTCCTCCTCCTCCTCCACCTCCTCCTCCACCTCTTCCTCCACCTCCTCCTGGCACTCCCACGGGCACCGCTCCTGGCACTCCCACGGGCACCGCTCCTCCTCCTCCTCCTCCTCTTCCTCCACCTCTTCCTCCATCTCCGCCTCCTCTTCCTCCATCTCCTCCTCCTCTTCCTCCACCTCCTCCGGTCACTCCGCCTCCTCCTCCTCTTCCTCCACCTCTTCCTCCACCTCTTCCTCCTCCACCTCTTCCTCCACCTCCTCCTCCGGTAACTCCGCCTCCTCCGCCTCTTCCAGGCACCACCACTCGTGGTCGGCAGGTAGCGCTAACCGCGATCTTGCAGAGAGGTCACGAGGTTCAATGTGGGAACCATCATCACCACCATCACCATCACCACCACTACTACTACCATCATCATCATCACCACTACCACCACTACTACTATCACCATCATCACCACCATCACCACCATCACCACTACCACCACTACTACCATCATCATCACCACCACCATCATCACCACCATCATCATCACCACCATCACCACCATCATCATCACCATCACCACCATCACCACCATCACCACCACTACCACCACTACTACCATCATCATCATCACCACTACCATCATCATCACCATCATCACCACCATCACCACCATCATCATCACCACCATCATCATCACCACCATCATCATCACCACCACTACTACTATCATCATCACCACCATCATCACCATCACCACCACCATCACCACCACCATCGCCATCACCACTACCACCACTACTACTACCATCATCACCACCACCACTACCATCACTACTACCATCATCACCACCACCATCATCATCACCATCATCACCACCACCACTACTACTACCATCATCACCACCACCACTACTACTACCATCATCACCACCACCACCACTACTACTACCATCATCACCACCATCACCATCACCACTACCACCACTACTACTACTACCATCATCACCGCCACCACCACCACCATCACCACCACCACCACTACTACTACCACCATCATCACCACCACCATCATCACCACCACCACCACCATCACCACCACCACCATCACCACTACCACCACTACTACTACCATCATCACCATCACCAGTACTACTACCATCATCACCACCATCACCATCAGTACCGTCACCATCACCACCATCATCAACACCACCACTACTACTACTGCCACCATCACCATCATCACCACCACCACTACTACCATCACCACCATCACCACCATCACCACTACTACCATCATCACCACCACTATCATCACCACCACCATCATCACCACCACCACCATCATCACCACCAGTACCATCATCACCACCACCACCATCACCACCACTACCATCATCACCACCACCACCATCAACACCACCATCACCATCACCACCACTACCTTCACCACAACCATCACCACCATGATCATCACCACCACTACTACCATCACCACCATCATCACCACCACCACCATTACCACCATTACTACCACCACCACCACTACTACCATCACCACCACCACTACCATCATCACCACCACAACCACCATCACCACCACCAATACCATCATCATCATCATCACCACCACTACCACCATCACCATCATCACCACCACCACCACAACCATCATCACCACCACCATCACCATCACTACCACCTCCATCATCATCACCACCACTACCATCATCATCACCACTACTACTATCGCTACCACTACTACCGTTACCACCACCAGTACCATCATCACCACCACAATTACCATCACCACCACTACCATCATCACCACCACCATCATCATCACCACCACCACTACCATCATCACCACCACCACTACTACCATCACCACCACTACTACTATCACTACCACTACTACCGTTACCACCACCAGTACCATCATCACCACCACAATTACCATCACCACCACTACCATCATCACCACCACCATCATCATCACCACCACCACTACCATCATCACCATCACCACTACTACCATCACCACCACTACTACCATCACCACCACTACTACTACCATCACCACCACCAGTACCATCATCACCACCACTACTACCATCACCGCCACCAGCACCACCATCATCACCACCACCACCACTACCATCATCACCACCAACACCACTACCATCATCACCACCATCACCACCACAACCATCATCACCACCACTACTACCATCACCACCACTACTACCATCACTACCACCAGTGCCATCATCACTACCACCACCACCATCACCACCACCACTACCATGATCACCGCCACAACCACCATCACCACCACCAATACCATCATCATCATCACCACCACTACTACCATCATCATCATCACCCCAACCATCATCACCACCACCATCACCATCATCATCACCACCACTACCATAATCACCACCACCACTACTATCACCACCACTACTACCATCACCACTCCCAGTCCCATCACACCACCACCATCATCACCACCACTACTTCCATCATCACCACCACTACCACCATCATCACCGCCACTACCACCATTATCACCACCACTACCATCATCAGCAACACCACTACCATCATCACCACCACAACTACCATCACCACCACTACCATCATCACCACCACCACCAACATCATCACCACCACCACTACTACTACCATCACCACCACCATCGTTATCACCACCACCACTACTATAATCACCACCACTACCATCATCACAACCACCACCACCACCATCATCACAACCACCACTACTACCAATCACCACTACCATCACCGACACCACAATTACCATCATCACCAGTTACCACTGAGATCATCGCCGGCATAACCAGTACCACCACCATCGGTACACACAAGATACACAAAGCCAAAGATCCCCCGTGTAGCCTGTAACAGACTGTAGGGGCAAGTGCTGTTAGCGAGCACCTATGAAGGCCGGAACGGTACACGAGGGGGTGGGTGGCCAGCACCACGCCCGACCGCCTTTGTCTCCCCACTGGCGATGTTTACACACCGCACCAGGTACTCATTTGAGGCTGAGTCGACCTTGGGGAGGCCTGGGACCGGTTCAGATAATCGTCACTGGTGTTGGCCGTGAGTGGGAATCGAACCCGGGTCGCCGGGTTCATAGTGCAGCATAGCGCTAACCACTACACTATCGCTCCCCACACACACACCCACACACACACACATTTATACACACATACACACTTACAAAGACACACACACACATATCTATACACACACATAGACACACACACATCTATACACACAGACACACACACATAGACCCAAACACTCACAAAGACACACACACCTACACACACACCCACACACAGACACACACACACATCTATACACACACACTCACAAAGACACAGACACACCTACACACACACACACACACATCTATACACACAGACACACACGCACAGACACACACAGACACACACACATCTATACACACAGACACACACACACATAGACACACAAACACTCACAAAGACATACACACCTCTACACACACACACACAGACACACACATCTATAAACACACACTCACACACAAAGACACAGACACACCTACACACACATACCCACACACACAGACTCACACACATCTATGCACACAGACACACACGCACAGACACACACAGACACACACACACATCTATACACACAGACACACACACACACACATCTATACACACACACTCACAAAGACACACCTACACACACACACCCACACACAGAGACACACACACATCTATACACACACACACCCACACACAGACACACACACACACACATCTATACACACACACACTCACAAAGACACAGACACACCTACACACACACACCCACACACACAGACACACATACATCTATACACACAGACACACACACACAGACACACACACACATCTATACACACAGACACACACACACAGACACACACACACATCTATACACACACACACCCACACACACAGACACACATCTATACACACACACATCTATAAACACAGACACACACACACTCACAAAGACACAGACACACCTACACACACTCACGGGTTTGTATGAAGGTGGTGATGATGATGGTGGTGGGGTCCGGGATGGATGCCGTATTACTTCCTCAGCTGCGTCTTCTCCCCGTTGATCTGAAAGCCATAAAAAGTGCACATCCAGTTTCAAAGGACGTGGATACAAGGTACTATAGAATACACTATACACTGCACTACAATACATTATACACTGCACTACAATACACTATACACTGCACTACCATACACTACTATACATTGTGCTACAATACACTACTATACACTGCACTACAATACACTACTATACACTACACTACTATACACTACTATACACTGCACTACTATACACTACTATACACTACACTACTATACACTACACTACTATACACTACACTACTATGCACTACACTACTATACACTACTATACACTACACTACTATACTCTACACTATACACTACACTACTATACACTACACTATACACTACTATACACTACACTACTATACTCTACACTACACTATACACTACACCACTATACACTACACCACCATACACTACACTACTATACACTACGCTACTATACACTACTATACACTGCACTTCTATACACTACTATACACTACACTACTATACACTGCACTTCTATACACTACTATACACTGCACTACTATACACTACTATACACACTATACACTACACAACAACAACCGCCATTCGCCACTAAGTGGCAGTGACGTCACCACGACGCTTGTGCCAGGACATGTGCACCTTGAGGCCACGTGAAGTGTCGAACGCCCGCTGGCAGGAGGTCACGGGGCAGACCCAGGTGCCACGGGTCGACTGAGATGACTGGCTGATGCACCACCTGTGCCCCCTACTGTGCCAACCTGCTGCGCTTTAGCCACCCGGCGCTCCGCTCGTTGTTGTGAGCGTCACTCCTCCGCCCTCCGTTGTTGTTGGAGGGCGACTGCCTCCAACTGCCCAGCAGCATCCTTCACGAGCCTCCTCCACAGAGGCCGATCTTGACACCGCTGGTACCGGTCATCGGCAAGTCCACTCAGCTCCACGTCCTCCTGTACCACATCACTCCATCTCTTCTCTAGCCCGTGCCGCGCCCATTTAGCCCCCTTAATCCGGCCAAACAAAAGCTGTTTAAGCATATGGTGGTTAAACCCAGGATTGATCGTAGGCAGGCCAGCCTAAATGTTCCTAACCGGCGAAGATGTTCCATTAGGGGGGGGTCCATGTTTCGCAAGCGTAGAGAAGGGAGGGAATGACTGTGGCCAAGAAGACCTGAAGCTTCGTGCGGAGCGACAGACCAGGTAGCTTCCACACAGCGTTACACAACCGATGAAAAGATATTGCCGCTCGACTGATTCGGAGTGAGACCTCTGCTGTTAAACCGGAGCCGGTCATGAGCACACTGCCCAGGTATGGGAAACTCTCCACTCTCTCCACAACTGCCCCATCACCGATTGAGAGTTGTGGGGGTGGAGTGTCCGATGGTACAAAATACCCAGGCAGGTGCTTAGTTTTGGTGGGGCTGATGGCAAGGCCCCACCTCTTAGTGGCAAGCTCCAGTCTCAGCAGCAGCACCTACAACTCCTCCTCTGAGTGAGCAGCAATTACCAAATCATCAGCATACATAACGTGGTTGAGCAATAGGGAGCCATCCTTTGACCGCACCCGGGCATCGATCAGCCTCCCATTATATCTGTATCAGATGGAAATTCCCCCGGTGCAGCTATTGAAGGCTTCACGAACTACGTGGTCGAAATAGATGTTAAATAATGTGGGAGCCAGAGGACATCCCTGTCGCACCCCAAGGTGTACAGGGAATGGCTCTGACTCCCGGCCACATAGTTTTACCCGGGCCCACTCACCATCATGAAGGTCCTTAATGATCTTGAGCAGAGGGTCAGGGACTTCTAAAGCACGAAGAACAACCCAGAGCCCAGGCCTACTGATGGTATCATAGGCCTTGGCCAGGTCAATAAAGCAGAGAAGTAGGTCTTGCTGGAATTCCCTACACCTCTGCTGTAGCAGACGGACAGAAAATATGGCATCTGTGCAGGACCGCCCTTTCCTGAAACCGCATTGGGGCTCCGCAAGCCTCTCCTCAGCGTGCCTGGCAAGGCGATGTTGAATAATCCTTGCCAGGACCTTTCCCGGCACACTGAGGAGTGAGATGCCCCTGTAGTTGTTACAGTCTGTGCGGTCCCCCTTCTTAAAGAGGGGGACCACCAGGGCATCCTTCCAATCCTGCGGAACCCGTCCAGTGGTCCAGACTGTTGTTATGATGTCATATAGGGCAGTCTGTGCACAAACGCCACCCTCCCTCAGCACTTCGCTTGGGAGATCATCTTTGCCCGGTGCCTTTCCTGGTCTCAAGACTCTGGATTGCCCTCAGTACTTCCACCACCACCTCCACCACCACCACCACCTCCACTACCACCTCCACCACCACCTCCACTACCACCTCCACTACCACCTCCACCACCATCACCACAACCACCACCTCCACCACCACAACCTCCACCACCATCACCACCTCCACCACCACCTCCACCATCACCACCTCCACCACCATCACCACAACCACCACCTCCACCACCACAACCTCCACCACCTCCACCACCTCCACCACCATCACCACCACCACCACCACCTCCTCCACCACCACCACCACCTCCTCCACCACCACCACCTCCTCCACCACCACCACCACCACCTACCTCCCATCGTGGTCCTAGTGGCCGTGGGGCCCTGCAGGGGCTGGAGACTCCTCATGAGGGCCAGCACCTTGGCTGCCGGGCGTGACAGCTGCTGCTTTAGCGACTGCGGCTCACCTCCACCGCCATCACCACCACCATCACCACCACCGCCACCACCACCACCGTCACCACCACCACCGTCACCACCACCGTCACCACCACCACCACCACCGTCACCACCGCCATCACCACCACCACCACCGTCACTGCCTCGACGACGCCGGCGGCACCGCCACTCATCCGTCTGCTCGGCCATGCTGCACACCGCACCAGATGACAGGGTGGGGGGTAGTGGGGGGTTGTGGTGGTGGTGGGGAGTGGTGGGGAGTGGTGGTGGTAGGGGTGGTGGTAGTGGGGAGTGGTGGGGGGAGTGGTGGTGGTGGTGATGGGGGTAGTGGTGGTGGGGAGTGGTGGTGGTAGTGGTTGTGGTAGTGGGGGTAGTGGTGGTGCTGGTGGTGGGGGTGATGATGGTAGTGGTGGTAGGGGTGGTGGTGGGGAGTGGTAGGGGGAGTGGTGGTGGTAGTGGTGGGGGTGATGGGGAGTGGTGGTGGTAGTGGTTGTGGTAGTGGTGGTGGGGGTAGTGGTTGTGGTAGTGGTGGTGATGATGGTAGTGGTGGTGGTGGGGAGTGGTGGGGGGGTAGTGGGGTGGTGGTGGGAGTGGTGGTGAGGAGTGGTGGGGGGAGTGGTGGTGGGGAGTGGTGGTGGTAGTGGTGAGGAGTGGTGGGGGGAGTGGTGGTGGGGAGTGGTGGTGGTAGTGGTGGTGGGGGTAGTGGTGGTGGGGGTGATGATGGTAGTGGTGGTGGGGGTAGTGGTGGTGGGGGTAGTGATGATGGTAGTGGTGGTAGGGGTGGTGGTAGGGGTGGTGGTGGGGAGTGGTGGGGGTAGTAGTGGTGGGGGGGTAGTGGGGGTGGTGGTGGTAGTGGTGGGGAGGAGTGGTGGTGGGGAGTGGTGGTGAGGGGAGTGGTGGAGGGGTAGTAGGGCAAGAGCTTATAAATTGGCCACCACTGCACTAGCGGTGCAAGGAGATTTTTAGTTCAGCAACCTGGTCACGTGGTGATAGCAGCTCACACCAAGTGGGTGGTATCAGAGATACCGTGTGGACATTTTCAGTAGTGGCCAAATCATCATCATCACCATCACCATCCTCTTTGGTTCTATTCGGTAAAGTCACCACGTAGGTGTAAAAAAAATATAAAACAAAAATCGCGACGTTTCGGCCACAACACAAGCGGCCCTTCATCAGGTGAAGGGACCAGGCTGTCTCGAGGACAGCGCTGGAGTGAAAAACAGCCAAGCTCAGACCGCGGATCTTTACGCTGTGTGAGAGTAATTAAGGTGCCTTGACAAAAGGAATTAGCATAAACATTTGCGACTCAGCATGATGAAAGGTGGAGAGGTTGTGAACATATGCTGGTGGACTTTCCGCGGTAAAATGCACTGCCACGGTAAAGGAGATTTCCACGGTGAAACTGGACTCCCATTTCCTAAACACCACACCATACGCTGCTATACGCTGCTATACACTACGCTATATACTAGACTATACATTAGCACTACTACACACTACATCACGCTACACACTACACCATAGCCGAACGACACTACTATACACTACACTATACACTACTATACACTATGATGCACTACACTATACACTACTACATTGTGGTAGTGTAGTAAATTGTGTAGTGTATGGTGGTAGTGTATAGTGTAGTCTATTGTGTAGTACATTGTGTCGTGTATGATGGTAGTGTATAGTGTAGTCTATCGTGTAGTGTAGTTGTATAGTGTGGTGTAGTGCATGGTGGTAGTGTATAGTTGTAAAGTGTAGTGTATAGTGTAGTGTATGGTTGTAGTTTATAATGGTAGTGTATTGTATAGTGTAGTACATGGTGGTAGTGCATGGTGTAGTCTATCGTGTAATGTAGTGCATGGTGGTAGTGTATAGTGGTAGTGTATAGTGGTAGTGTATAGTGTAGTGCATGGTGGTAGTGTATAGTGTAGTGTATGGTGGTAGTGTATAGTGTAGTGTATGGTGGTAGTGTATAGTGTAGTGTATAGTGGTAGTGTATAGTGTAGTGTATGGTGGTAGTGTATAGTGTAGTGCATGGTGGTAGTGTATAGTGTAGTGCGTGGTGGTAGTGTATAGTGTAGTGTATAGTGTAGTGCATGGTGGTAGTGTATAGTGTAGTGTATGGTGGTAGTGCATAGTGTAGTGTATAGTGTAGTGCATGGTGGTAGTGTATAGTGTAGTGTATGGTGGTAGTGTATAGTGTAGTGCATGGTGGTAGTGTATAGTGTAGTGTGTGGTGGTAATGTATAGTGTAGTGTATAGTGTAGTGCATGGTGGTAGTGTATAGTGTAGTGCGTGGTGGTAGTGTATAGTGTAGTGCATGGTGGTAGTGTATAGTGTAGTGTATGGTGGTAGTGTATAGTGTAGTGTAGTGCATGGTGGTAGTGCATGGTGGTAATGTATAGTGTAGTGCATGGTGGTAGTGTATAGTGTAGTGTATGGTGGTAGTGTATAGTGTAGTGTATGGTGGTAGTGTATAGTGTAGTGTCTAGTGTAGTGCATGGTGGTAGTGCATGGTGGTAATGTATAGTGTAGTGCATGGCGGTAGTGTATAGTGTAGTGTATGGTGGTAGTGTAGTGTATAGTGTAGTGCATGGTGGTAATGTATAGTGTAGTGCATGGTGGTAGTGTATAGTGTAGTGTATGGTGGTAGTGTATAGTGTAGTGCATGGTGGTAGTGTATAGTGTAGTGTATAAGGGAAGTGTATAGTGTAGTGTATGGTGGTAGTGTATAGTGTAGTGTATAGTGTAGTGCATGGTGGTAGTGTATAGTGTAGTGCATGGTGGTAGTGTATAGTGTATTGCATGGTGGTAGTGTATAGTGTAGTGCATGGTGGTAATGTATAGTGTAGTGTATAGTGTAGTGCATGATGGTAGTGTATAGTGTAGTGTATGGTGGTAGTGTATAGTGTAGTGCATGGTGGTAGTGTATGGTGGTAGTGTATAGTGTAGTGCATGGTGGTAGTGTATAGTGTAGTGTATGGTGGTAGTGTAAAGTGTAGTGCATGGTGGTAGTGTATAGTGTAGTGCATGGTGGTAGTGTATAGTGTAGTGTATATAGTGTATGGTGTAGTGTATAGTGTAGTGTATGGTGTAGTGTATAGTGTAGTGTATGGTGTTAGTGTATAGAGTAGTGCATGGTGGTAGTGTATAGTGTAGTGTATAGTGTAGTGTATAGTGGTAGTGTATAGTGTAGTGTATGGTGGTAGTGTATAGTGTAGTGCATGATGGTAGTGTATAGTGTAGTGTATGGTGGTAGTGTATAGTGTAGTGCATGATGGTAGTGTATAGTGTAGTGTATGGTGGTAGTGTATAGTGTAGTGCATGATGGTAGTGTATAGTGTAGTGTATGGTGGTAGTGTATAGTGTAGTGCATGATGGTAGTGTATAGTGTAGTGTATGGTGGTAGTGTATAGTGTAGTGTATAGTGGTAGTGTATAGTGTAGTGTATAGTGTAGTGCATGATGGTAGTGTATAGTGTAGTGTATGGTGGTAGTGTATAGTGTAGTGCATGATGGTAGTGTATAGTGTAGTGTATGGTGGTAGTGTATAGTGTAGTGTATAGTGGTAGTGTATAGTGTAGTGTATAGTGTAGTGTATAGTGTAGTGCATGGTGGCAGTGTATAGTGGTAGTGTATAGTGTAGTGTGTGGTGGTAGTGTATAGTGTAGTGTATAGTGTAGTGTATAGTGTAGTGCATGGTGGCAGTGTATAGTGTAGTGCATGGTGGTAGTGTATAGTGTAGTGTATAGTTGTAGTGCATGGTGGTAGTGTATAGTGTAGTGTATAGTTGTAGTGTATGGTAGTAGTGTATGGTGGTAGTGTATAGTGTAGTGCATGGTGGTAGTGTATAGTGTAGTGTATAGTGTAGTGCATGGTGGTAGTGTATAGTGTAGTGTATGGTGGTAGTGTATAGTGTAGTGCATGGTGGTAGTGTATAGTGTAGTGCATGGTGGTAGTGTATAGTGTAGTGTATAGTGTAGTGCATGGTGGTAGTGTATAGTGTAGTGTATGGTGGTAGTGTATAGTGTAGTGTATAGTGGTAGTGTATAGTGTAGTGTATGGTGGTAGTGTATAGTGTAGTGCATGATGGTAGTGTATAGTGTAGTGTATGGTGGTAGTGTATAGTGTAGTGCATGATGGTAGTGTATAGTGTAGTGTATGGTGGTAGTGTATAGTGTAGTGTATAGTGGTAGTGTATAGTGTAGTGTATAGTGTAGTGTATAGTGTAGTGCATGGTGGCAGTGTATAGTGGTAGTGTATAGTGTAGTGTGTGGTGGTAGTGTATAGTGTAGTGTATAGTGTAGTGTATAGTGTAGTGCATGGTGGCAGTGTATAGTGTAGTGCATGGTGGTAGTGTATAGTGTAGTGTATAGTTGTAGTGCATGGTGGTAGTGTATAGTGTAGTGTATAGTTGTAGTGTATGGTAGTAGTGTATGGTGGTAGTGTATAGTGTAGTGCATGGTGGTAGTGTATAGTGTAGTGTATAGTGTAGTGCATGGTGGTAGTGTATAGTGTAGTGTATGGTGGTAGTGTATAGTGTAGTGCATGGTGGTAGTGTATAGTGTAGTGCATGGTGGTAGTGTATAGTGTAGTGTATAGTGTAGTGCATGGTGGTAGTGTATAGTGTAGTGTATAGTGTAGTGCATGGTGGTAGTGTATAGTGTAGTGCATGGTGGTAGTGTATAGTGTAGTGTATGGTGGTAGTGTATAGTGTAGTGTATAGTTGTAGTGTATGGTGGCAGTGTATAGTGTAGTGTATAGTGTAGTGTATGGTGGCAGTGTATAGTGGCAGTGTATAGTGTATGGTGGTAGTGTATAGTGTAGTGCATGGTGGTAGTGTATAGTGTAGTGTATGGAAGGTCACACGACTCCACAGCCGGTAGAGATATATATGTATATCTAATAAATTTATTTTTTAAATCTACGTATTTGTTTTAAACCACAAAAACCATTAAAGGTCCAGCGGCTCGCTAGACATCCCGCGGCTCTCGAGGAAAGCGAGTGTGGAGCGTGTGGGTGGGGCGAGCGTGAGAGTATGAAGGTGTGAGAGTGATTGTGTGAGTGAGTGTATGAGTGTGTGGGTGTGTGTGTATGAGTGTGTGTGTGAGTGAGTGTATGAGTGTGTGAGTGTATGAGTGTGTGGGTGTGTGTGTGAGTGTATGAGTGAGCCAGTGTATGAGTGAGCGAGTGGGTGTATGAGTGAGTGTATGAGTGAGTGAGTATATGAGTGAGTGGGTGTATGAGTGAGTGTGTGAGCGAGTGAGTGATCGTGTGAGTGAGCGTGTGAGTGATCATGTTAGCGTGTGAGTGAGTGTGTGAGTGATCGTGTGAGTGATCATGTTAGCGTGTGAGTGAGTGTGTGAGTGATCGTGTGAGTGAGCGTGTGAGTGATCATGTTAGCGTGTGAGTGAGTGTGAGTGAGTGATCGTGTGAGTGAACGAGTGAGTGTGTGAGTGATCGTGTGAGAGTGTGTGAGAGTGTGTGTCTGTGCGAACGTAAGAGTATGAGCGTACGAGTGACTGAGCGAGTGAGCTATGGTGTGAGTGAGCCTGTGAGTCAGCCTGTGAGTGAGCCTGTGAGTGAGCCTGTGAGTCAGCCTGTGAGTCAGCCTGTGAGTCAGCCTGTGAGTGAGCCTGTGAGTGAGCCTGTGAGTCAGCCTGTGAGTGAGCCTGTGAGTGAGCCTGTGAGCAAATCGAGCGACCGATCGTAGGGGGTCACCGAGCGTGCGAGCGATCGCGAGCGTGACCGAGCGAGAGGACACAGCGGACGTTACCGTGCTGAGGATAACAACAACAAAGTGCACTTCAAAATGTCACCGGTGGGACCGCGCGAAAAGACCAGCCAGACACTGCGATCCGCCAAAGTCACGGACGTCTCCTCATCCTTCTCCCCCACATCACCACCACCACCTCCACCATCACCACTACCACCACTACCACCACCACTACCCAACCACCACCACCACTACTACCCAACCACCACCACTACCATCACCACCACCACCACCACCCACCCAACTTCGTGGCAAGTTTTTATTTATTTACACCGAAAATGTACGCACAGGGGACAGCTGCCCCTGGGGGTGCCCCTAGGCTGTAGGGAGACCCACACAGCAGACTGACTCACAGGGACAGCTGCCACTGGGGGTGCCCCTAGGCTGTAGGAAGACCCACACAGCAGACTGACTCACAGGGACAGCTGCCACTGGGGGTGCCCCTAGGCTGTAGGGAGACCACCCACACAGCAGACTGACTCACAGGGACAGCTGCCACTGGGGGTGCCCCTAGGCTGTAGGGAGACCACCCACACAGTGGACTGACTCACAGGGACAGCTGCCACTGGGGGTGCCCCTAGGCTGTAGGAAGACCCACACAGCAGACTGACTCACAGGGACAGCTGCCACTGGGGGTGCCCCTAGGCTGTAGGCGAGATCACCCACACAGCAGACTGACTCACAGGGACAGCTGCCACTGGGGGTGCCCCTAGGCTGTAGGGAGATCACCCACACAGCAGACTGACTCACAGGGACAGCTGCCACTGGGGGTGCCCCTAGGCTGTAGGGAGACCACCCACACAGCAGACTGACTCACAGGGACAGCTGCCACTGGGGGTGCCCCTAGGCTGTAGGGAGATCACCCACACAGCAGACTGACGCACAGGGACAGCTGCCACTGGGGGTGCCCCTAGGCTCTAGGGAGACCACCCACACAGCAGACTGACTCACAGGGACAGCTGCCACTGGGGGTGCCCCTAGGCTCTAGGGAGACCACCCACACAGCAGACTGACGCACAGTGACAGCTGCCACTGGGGGTGCCCCTAGGCTGTAGGGAGACCACCCACACAGCAGACTGACACACAGGGACAGCTGCCACTGGGGGTGCCCCTAGGCTGTAGGGAGACCACCCACACAGCAGACTGACGCACAGGGACAGCTGCCACTGGGGGTGCCCCTAGGCTCTAGGGAGACCACCCACACAGCAGACTGACTCACAGGGACAGCTGCCACTGGGGGTGCCCCTAGGCTGTAGGGAGACCCACACAGCAGACTGACTCACAGGGGACAGCTGCCACTGGGGGTGCCCCTAGGCTCTAGGGAGACCCACACAGCAGACTGACTCACAGGGACAGCTGCCCCTGGGGGTACCCCTAGGCTGTAGGGAGACCCACACAGCAGACTGACGCACAGTGACAGCTGCCACTGGGGGTGCCCCTAGGCTCTAGGGAGACCACCCACACAGCAGACTGACTCACAGGGGACAGCTGCCACTGGGGGTGCCCCTAGGCTGTAGGGGAGACCACCCACACAGCAGACTGACGCACAGGGACAGCTGCCACTGGGGGTGCCCCTAGGCTGGACACCCACGCAGCAACATCAGCAGCAGCAAAACGTCGACAAAACAAAACACGACCATCACCATCGGAGTCAACGACACGACCGAGAGGACACGGGCGGAGGAGAGACGCGCGGAGAGACACAGAGAGAGACACACACAGAGACACACGCAGAGACACACAGAGAGACACACAGAGAGACACACAGAGAGAGACACAGAGAGACACACAGAGAGAGACACACAGCGACACACACAGCGACACACACAGAGACACACACAGAGACACACGCAGAGACACACGCAGCGACACACACACACAGCGACACACACACACAGCGACACACACACACAGCGACACACACACACAGCGACACACACACAGCGACACACACACAGCGACAAACACACACAGCGACACACACACACAGCGACAAACACACACAGCGACACACACACAGAGCGACACACACACACAGATACACACACACAGATACACACACACAGACACACAGACTCACAGATACACACACACAGCGACACACACACACACACAGCGACAAACACACAGCGACACACACACACAGAGACACACACAGAGAGACACACACAGAGACACACACACAGAGCGACACACACACACACAGTCACACACACACAGATACACACACACACACACAGCGACACACACACACACACAGCGACACACACACACAGAGACACACACACAGAGACACACACACACAGCGACACACACACACACAGACACACACACAGAGACACACACACACAGCGACACACACACACACGGTCTGCGGGGAGTGTTGCCGGCCTCCCGCTCGTAGCACTACGGGAGTGAGGGGTCCTTCCACGCCACCCCCATCCCCTCCTCAGTCCTCCGCCTTCTCGCCCTCCCCCATTGGCCGCAGCAGGAAGCGCGAGTAGAGGTCCCGTTGGCGACGCATGGCCGGCGAGGCGGCCAGCTGCTGCTGGTGGAGGTGCCGCTGGTCCATCACCTGGAGCACCTCGGAGTTCAGCAGCTGCAGGCCCTCCTCCAGACGACGCATCTCCTCTGCCAGAACCTGGCGAGTGCGGGGGGTGGGTGAGGGTGAGGGTGGGTGAGGGTGGGTGGGTGAGTGGGTGTGGGTGAGTGAGGGTGAGTATGTGTGTGTGTGGGTGAGTGTGTGGGTGAGTATGTGAGTGTGTGTGTGTGGGTGAGTATGTGAGTGTGTGTATTGGTGAGTATGTGAGTGTGTGTGTGGGTGAGTATGTGTGTGTGTGGGTGAGTATGTGGGTGAGTATGTGAGTGTGTGTGTGTGGGTGAGTATGTGAGTGTGTGTATTGGTGAGTATGTGAGTGTGTGTGTGGGTGAGTATGTGAGTGTGTGGGTGAGTATGTGTGAGTATGTGTGTGAGTATGTGAGTGTGTGTGTGTGGGTGAGTATGTGAGTGTGTGTGTGTGGGTGAGTATGTGAGTGTGTGTGTGTATGGGTGAGTATGTGAGTGTGTGTGTGCGTGGGTGAGTATGTGAGTGTGTGTGTGGGTGAGTGTTTGACTGACCGGCTCCAGTTTAACAGCAGAGGTCTCACTCCGAATCAGTCGAGCGGCAATATCTTTTCATCGGTTGCGTAACGCTGTGTGGAAGCTACCTGGTCTGTCGCTCCGCACTAAGCTTCAGGTCTTCTCGGCCACGGTCATTCCCTCCCTTCTCTACGCTTGCGAAACGTGGACCCCCCTAATGGAACATCTTCGCCGGTTAGAAACTTTTAGGCTGGCCTGCCTACGATCCATCCTGGGTTTAACCAGACTGGATTGTGTGAGGAGCTCACAAATCCTTGAAAGATCTGGGCAAGGTCCCATCGGTGAGCTCCTCCGGCGGGGAAGGCTGCGATGGCTGGGTCATGTAGCCCGCATGCCCAGCCACCGCATGCCGAAACAGCTTTTGTTCGGCCGGATCGAGGGGGCTAAACTGGCGCGGCACGGGCTAGAGAAGAGATGGAGTGATGTGGTACAGGAGGACGTGGAGCTGAGTGGACTTGCCGATGACTGGTACCAGCGGTGTCAAGATCGGCCTCTGTGGAGGAGGCTCGTGAAGGACGCTACTGGGCAGTTGGAGGCAGTCGCCCTCCAACAACAACGGAGGGCGGAGGAGCGACGCTCACAACAACGAGCGGAGCGCCGGGTGGCTAAAGCACAGCAGGTTGGCACAGTAGGGGGCACAGGTGGTGCATCAGCCAGTCATCTCAGTCAGTCGACCCGTGGCACCTGCTGGGTCTGCCCCGTGACCTCCTGCCAGCGGGCGTTCGACACTCCACGTGGCCTCAAGGTGCACATGTCCAGGCACAAGCATCGTGGTGACGTCACCGCCACTTAGTGGCGAATGGCGGTTGTTGTTGTTGTGTGTGTGGGTGAGTATGTGAGTGAGTGTGTGTGAGTGAGAGTGAGTGTTTGTGTGTGGGTGAGAGTGAGTATGTGTGTGTGTGGGTGAGTGTGTGTGGGCGAGTATGTGTCTGTGTGGGTGAGTGTTTGACCGAGTATGTGTGTGTGTGGATGAGAGTGAGTATGTGTGTGTGTGTGGGTGAGTATGTGAGTATATGTGTGTGTGGGTGAGTATTTGACTGAGTATATGTGTGTGTGTGTGAGTGTGTGTGGGTGAGTATGTGAGTATGTGTGTGTGTGTGGGTGAGTGTGTGTGTGAGTATTTGACTGAGTATGTGTGTGTGGGTGTGTGTGAGTGTGTGTGGGTGAGTGAGTATGTGTGTGTGAGTGTGTGGGTGAGTATGTGAGTATGTGTGTGTGGGTGAGTGTGTGTGTGTGAGTATTTGACTGAGTATGTGTGTGTGTGGGTGAGAGTGAGTATGTGTGTGTGTGTGTGGGTGAGTGTGTGTGTGAGTATTTGACTGAGTGTGTGTGTGTGTGAGTATTTTACTGAGTGTGTATGTGTGAGTATTTGACTGAGTGTGTGTGTGAGTATTTGACTGAGTGTGTGTGTGTGAGTATTTGACTGAGTGTGTGTGTGTGAGTATTTGACTGTGTGTGTGAGTATGTGACTGAGTGTGTGTGTGAGTATTTGACTGAGTGTGTGTGTGTGAGTATGTGACTGAGTGTGTGTGTGTGTGAGTATGTGACTGAGTATGTGTGTGTGTATTTGACTGAGTATGTGTGTGTGTATTTGACTGAGTGTGTGTGTGTGAGTATTTGACTGAGTGTGTGTGTGAGTATTTGACTGAGTGTGTGTGTGTGAGTATTTGACTGAGTGTGTGTGTGAGTATGTGACTGAGTGTGTGTGTGTGTGAGTATTTGACTGTGTGTGTGTGTGTGAGTATTTGACTGAGTGTGTGTGTGAGTATTTGACTGAGTGTGTGTGTGTGAGTATTTGACTGAGTGTGTGTGTGTGTGAGTATTTGACTGAGTGTGTGTGTGTGTGAGTATTTGACTGAGTGTGTGTGTGTGTGAGTATTTGACTGAGTGTGTGTGTGAGTATTTGACTGAGTATGTGTGTGTGTGAGTATTTGACTGAGTGTGTGTGTGTGAGTATTTGACTGTGTGTGTGTGTGAGTATTTGACTGAGAGTGTGTGTGTGAGTATTTGACTGAGTGTGTGTGTGTGTGTATTTGACTGAGTGTGTGTGTGTGTGAGTATTTGACTGAGTATGTGTGTGTGTGAGTATTTGACTGAGTGTGTGTGTGTGTGTGAGTATTTGACTGAGTGTGTGTGTGTGTGAGTATTTGACTGAGTATGTGTGTGTGTGAGTATTTGACTGAGTGTGTGTGTGTGTGTGAGTATTTGACTGAGTGTGTGTGTGTGTGAGTATTTGACTGAGTGTGTGTGTGTGTGAGTATTTGACTGAGTGTGTGTGTGTGTATTTGACTGTGTGTGTGTGTGAGTATGTGACTGAGTGAGTGTGTGTGAGTATTTGACTGAGTGTGTGTGTGTGTGAGTATTTCACTGAGTGTGAGTGTGTGAGTATTTGACTGAGTGTGTGTGTGTGTGAGTATTTGACTGAGTGTGTGTGTGTGTGAGTATTTGACTGAGTATGTGTGTGTGTATTTGACTGAGTATGTGTGTGTGTGAGAGTATTTGACTGAGTGTGTGTGTGAGTATTTGACTGAGTGTGTGTGTGTGTGAGTATTTGACTGTGTGAGTGTGTGTATTTGACTGAGTCTGTGAGTGAGTGGGTAGCGGTAGTGCAAGTGGTAAACGCTGCACTACCAACAGCAGAGAACCCCTTCCCCCCCCCAAGTTCAACTCTTGGCCTCCCCTAGCCGCACGAGTTGGGGTGGGTGTCCAACACCACGGCAGCCCAGCCGCCTTTGTCTCCCCTGTGGCGATGTTCGCTACGCGACCACAGCACCAGGTTCTCGTGCGGGGCCGAGCCCGATGCTTGGCGGAGAGCGGGAATCGAACCTCAGGTCGCTGGGCAGCGCCAACTGCTACACCAGCGCTCCCCACCACCATCATCACCGCCACCACCGCCATCATCATCATCATCAGTCTCCAACACCATCATCATCACCACCATGATCATTATCAGCCTCCACTATCATCATCATCATCAGATTCCACCATCATCACCGCCACCACCATCATCATCTTCACCGCCACCACCATCATCAGCCTCCACCACCATCATCATCGCTATCACCATCACCTCCACCATCATAATCACCTCCACCATCATCACCGCCACCACCATCATCTTCATCAGCCTCCACCATCATCACCGCCACCACCATCATCTTCATCAGCCACCACCATCATCACCGCCACCACCATCATCAGCCTCCACCACCATCATCATCGCTATCACCATCACCTCCACCATCATCATCATCACCTCCACCATCATCATAATCACCTCCACCATCACACCTCCACCATCATCATCAGCCTCCACCATCATCACTGCCACCACCACCATCATCATCATCAGCCTCCACCATCATCATCGGTACCACCATTACCTCCACCATCATCACCACCACCATCATCATCACCACCATCATCATCACCTCCACCATCATCATCACCACCATCATCACCATCACCATCACCACCTTCTACAACGACCATCACCAGAACCATTTCCACCTCGAGCTGCACCTCCACCACATCATCCTCAACTACCCCCACAAACACCTCCTCAACCACCTACTCACCACCACCACCCCCCTCCTCCTCCTCCCCGTACAGCTGCCTGTGGAGGCCCAGCACCCGTGCCTCCTCCACTACCACCACCACCACCTCATTCGCCACCACCACTACCACCACTACCAACACCACCACCTCATTCTCCACTACCACCTCATTCTCCACCACCACTACCACCACCTCATTCGCCACCACCACTACCACCACCACCACCACCTCATTCTCCACTACCACCTCATTCTCCACCACCACCACCACCTCATTCTCCACCACCACTACCACCACCACCTCATTCTCCACCACCACCACCACCTCATTCTCCACTACCACCACATTCTCCACCACCACCACCTCATTCTCCACCACCACCACCACCACTACCTCCACCACCACTACCACCACCACCTCATTCTCCACCACCACCACTACCACCACCACCACCACCACCTCATTCACCACCACCACCACCATCACCACCACCCCCACCACCACCACCACCACCCCCACCACCACCACCCCCACCACCACCCCCACCACCACCTCCTCCTCCTCCTCACCGGGGGCGTGAGCTGTGGACCCGTGCCACCCCCCTCCACGTCCTCCCCGTAGAGCTCCCTGTAGAGGCCCAGCACCCGTGCCTCAGCCCTGGCCACCTCCCTGAGCCTCCTCTGGGAGACCTCAGCCAGCCCCTGGTGGAGCTCCGCCACACGGGCCTCCAACTCCCTCGCTCCGCGCTCCAGCTCAGAGCGGGAGGGGAACAGTGGAGCGGAGCCGGAGATGGTGCCACCACCACCGCCACCACCGCCACCACCACCACCACCACCACCGCCACCACCACCACCGCCACCATCACCGCCGCCATCACCGCACAGGAGCTCAAAAAGTCTGCAGGGAAGGGGAGCAGTGTTCAGAATTGTGAGTCTGTGGGTCTCTGTGTGGTGGTGGTGGTGGTGAGTGGTGGTGGTGAGTGGTGGTGGTGAGTCTGTGGGTCTCTGTGTGGTGGTGGTGGTGAGTCTGTGGGTCTCTGTGTGGTGGTGGTGGTGGTGAGTCTGTGGGTCTCTGTGTGGTGGTGATGAGTCTATGGGTCTCTGTGTGGTGATGAGTCTATGGGTCTCTATGTGGTGGTGAGTCTATGGGTCTCTGTGTGGTGGTGATGAGTCTATGGGTCTCTGTGTGGTGATGAGTCTATGGGTCTCTGTGTGGTGATGAGTCTATGGGTCTCTGTGTGGTGGTGATGAGTCTATGGGTCTGTGTGGTGGTGAGTCTGTGGGTCTCTCTGTGTTGTGGTGGTGAGTCTATGGGTCTCTGTGTGATGGTGAGTCTATGGGTCTCTGTGTGGTGGTGAGTCTATGGGTCTCTGTGTGGTGATGAGTCTATGGGTCTCTGTGTGATGATGAGTCTCTGTGTGGTGGTGGTGAGTCTGTGGGTCTCTGTGTGGTGGTGGTGAGTCTGTGGGTCTCTGTGTGGTTATGATGAGTCTATGTCTCTCTGTGTGGCGGTGATGAGTCTGTGGGCCTCTGTGTGAGGAGCCACCCACGGCACCACCCACCCACCTCATGGTGGCCGCGTCCCCGTAGCTGATGAAGTCGCCGCCCTCACCCTCCTCCCCCCGCTCCTCCTCATCCTCCTCCTCCACCTCCTCATCCTCCTCCTCACCCTCCTCCTCCTCCTCATCCTCCCCCACCTCCTCCCAGGCGCCGCAGCGGCCGCCCCGGCGACGCCGTCCCCGGCGCCGGGCCTCCCGCTCGGCCCGCAGGCCGCAACGGGCCGGGCCGCCGTGCACGAGGCCGCCCAGCAGGGCCGCCAGCTGAGCCACCCGCTGGCGCTCCACCTCGTAGCAAGCCCTCAGCAGCTCCAGGCGTGCCAGCTGCTGGGCCAGCAGTTCGGACACCAGCTCTTGCTTGGACTCCAGCTGTGTGTGTGTGTGTGGTGGTGGTGGGGGTGAGGGTGGGTGGTGGTGGTGGTTGTGGTTGTGGTGGTTGTGGATGTGGTTGTGGTGGTGGTGGTTGTGGTGGGTGTGGTGGTGGTAGTTGTGGTGGTGGTGGGTGTGGTGGTGGTGGTGGTGAGGGTGGTGGTGAGGGTGGGTGTGGTGGTGGTTGTGGTTGTTGTGGTGGTTGTGGTGGTGAGGGTGGGTGGTGGTGGTGGTGAGGGTGGTTATGGTGGTGGTAGTTGTGGTGGTGAGGGTGGGTGGTGGTTGTGGTGGTGGTTGTGGTGGTGGTTGTGGTGGTGGTGGTGGTTGTGGTGGTGGTGACACAAGGGGAGCGTGAGGGCTCCGTAGAGGCGGCCAGGAGATGTTGGTGGGGTGGGAGGTGGGGGGGGGGAGGGGCTGGCGATGGAGGGGGAGTGTGGGTAGGGAGTGTGGGTAGAGAGTGTGGGCAGACAGGGAGTGTGGGCAGGCAGGGAGTGTGGGTAGGGAGTGTGGGGAGAGAGTCGTGGGCCACGGGGGAGAGAGTCGTGGGCCACGGGGAGAGAGTCGTGGGCCACGGGGAGAGAGCCGTGGGCCACGGGGAGAGAGTGGTGGGCCACGGGGAGAGAGTCGTGGGCCACGGGGGAGAGAGTCGTGGGCCACGGGGAGAGAGTCGTGGGCCACGGGGAGAGAGCCGTGGGCCATGGGGAGAGAGCCGTGGGCCACGGGGAGAGAGTCGTGGGCCACGGGGAGAGAGTCGTGGGCCACGGGGAGAGAGCCGTGGGCCACGGGGAGTGAGTCGTGGGCCACGGGGAGTGAGTCGTGGGCCACGGGGAGAGAGTCGTGGGTCACGGGGAGAGAGTCGTGGGCCACGGGGAGAGAGCCGTGGGCCACGGGGAGAGAGTCGTGGGCCACGGGGAGAGAGTCGTGGGTCACGGGGAGAGAGTCGTGGGCCACGGGGAGAGAGTCGTGGGCCACGGGGAGAGAGTCGTGGGCCACGGGGAGAGAGCCGTGGGCCACGGGGAGAGAGCCGTGGGCCATGGGGAGAGAGCCGTGGGCCATGGGGAGAGAGTCGTGGGCCATGGGGAGAGAGTCGTGGGCCATGGGGAGAGAGTCGTGGGCCATGGGGAGAGAGTCGTGGGCCATGGGGAGAGAGTCGTGGGCCATGGGGAGAGAGTCGTGGGCCATGGGGAGAGAACCGTGGGCCACGGGGAGAGGGTCGTGGGCCACGGGGAGAGAGCCGTGGGCCACGGGGAGAGTCGTGGGCCACGGAGAGAGAGTCGTGGGCCACGGGGAGAGAGTCGTGGGTCACGGGGAGAGAGTCGTGGGCCACGGGGGAGAGAGTCGTGGGCCACGGGGAGAGAGTCGTGGGCCACGGGGAGAGAGTCGTGGGCCACGGGGAGAGAGTCGTGGGCCACGGGGAGAGAGTCGTGGGCCACGGGGAGAGAGCCGTGGGCCACGGGGAGAGGGTCGTGGGCCACGGGGAGAGAGTCGTGGGCCATGGGGAGAGAGTCGTGGGCCATGGGGAGAGAGCCGTGGGCCACGGGGAGAGGGTCGTGGGCCACGGGGAGAGAGTCGTGGGCCATGGGGAGAGAGTCGTGGGCCACGGGGAGAGAGTCGTGGGCCACGGGGAGAGAGTCGTGGGCCACGGGGAGAGAGCCGTGGGCCACGGGGAGAGAGCCGTGGGCCACGGGGAGAGAGTCGTGGGCCACGGGGAGAGAGCCGTGGGCCACGGGGAGAGAGCCGTGGGCCACGGGGAGAGAGCCGTGGGCCACGGGGAGAGAGCCGTGGGCCACGGGGAGAGAGCCGTGGGCCACGGGGAGAGAGTCGTGGGCCACGGGGAGAGAGCCGTGGGCCACGGGGAGAGAGTCGTGGGTCACGGGGAGAGAGTCGAGGGTCACGGGGAGAGAGCCGTGGGCCACGGGGAGAGGGTCGTGGGCCACGGGGAGAGAGTCGTAGGCCACGGGGAGAGAGCCGTGGGCCACGGGGAGAGAGCCGTGGGCCACGGGGGAGAGAGTCGTGGGCCACGGGGAGAGAGTCGTGGGCCACGGGGAGAGAGTCGTAGGCCACGGGGAGAGGGTCGTGGGTCACGGGGAGAGAGCCGTGGGCCACGGGGAGAGAGCCGTGGGCCACGGGGAGTGAGTCGTGGGCCACGGGGAGAGAGTCGTGGGTCACGGGGAGAGAGCCGTGGGCCACGGGGAGAGAGCCGTGGGCCACGGGGAGAGAGCCGTGGGCCATGGGGAGAGAGCCGTGGGCCACGGGGGAGAGAGTCGTGGGCCACGGGGAGAGAGTCGTGGGCCACGGGGAGAGAGCCGTGGGCCACGGGGAGAGAGTCGTGGGCCACGGGGAGAGAGTCCTGGGCCACGGGGAGAGAGTCGTGGGCCACGGGGAGAGAGTCCTGGGCCACGGGGAGAGAGTCCTGGGCCACGGGGAGAGAGCCGTGGGCCACGGGGAGAGAGCCGTGGGCCACGGGGAGAGAGCCGTGGGCACGGCACGGTGAGAGAGCCGTGGGCAAGCCAACCCACCCCACCCCCGCCACCTGCCGATGCTGTGCCAGGCTGAGGCGGAGGAGCGCCATGGCCGCGGGCAGCGCCTGAGCGGGGGACAGCCGGCGCAGCGAGCGAGGCAGCTCCACGGCCTCCAGCCGGCGGCACTCGCCGGACAGCTCGGCGATGGCGCCGAGGGCGGCCACCAGCTGGGAGCGAAGAGCCTCCTCCTTGGGAGGGACCTGGGGGCGCCGGGGGGGGGGGGGGAGAGGGGGCGGAGGGTGTGACGGCGTCGGTGGTGATGGTGGTGGTGATGGTGGTGGTGGTGATGGTGGTGATGGTGGTGATGGTGGTGGTGATGGTGGTGGTGGTGATGGTGGTGGTGATGGCGGTGATGGTGGTGATGGCGGTGGTGATGGTGGTGGTGGTGATGGCGGTGATGGTGGTGGTGGTGGTGGTGATGGCGGTGATGGTGGTGATGGTGGTGATGGTGGTGGTGATGGTGGTGATGGTGGTGGTGATGGTGGTGATGATGGTGGTGGTGATGGTGGTGATGATGGTGATGGTGGTGGTGGTGATGGTGGTGGTGATGGTGATGGTGGTGGTGATGGTGGTGAATACGGCAGTGATGGTGGTGGTGATGGTGGTGATGGTGGTGATGGTGGTGGTGATGGTGGTGGTGGTGATGGTGGTGGTGATGGCGGTGATGGTGGTGGTGGTGGTGGTGATGGTGGTGATGGTGGTGGTGGTGGTGATGGTGGTGATGGTGGTGATGGTGGTGATGGTGGTGGTGATGGTGGTGGTGGTGGTGGTGATGGTGGTGATGGTGGTGGTGATGGTGATGGTGGTGATGGTGGTGGTGGTGATGATGGTGGTGGTGATGGTGGTGATGGTGGTGGTGATGGTGGTGATGGTGGTGGTGGTGGTGGTGATGGTGGTGATGGTGGTGGTGATGGTGGTGATGGTGGTGGTGATGGTGGTGATGGTGGTGGTGATGGTGGTGAATACGATGACGATGGTGGTGATGCCGGTGATGGTGAATTCGGCAGTGATGGCGATGGTGGTGAATACGGCGTTGACGTTGGTGATGACGCTGAACACGGCGGTGATGACGGTGATGAACACGGCGGCGATGACGATGACGGTGATGACGATGGCGACGCCGGTTCCAACCCACGTGGTCGGAGGCCTCCAGCCGGCGCAGGCCGCTACGCGCCCAGTCCAGCGCCGCCATGGCCGCCGCCTCGCGGGCCTTGGCGCGAGCGGCCAGCGCCTCGCCGTGCTCCCAGCCCTCGCCCTGCAGCTGCGTCAACGTCAGCGCAAGCTCCTCAGCCGTGGCAACGCGGTGACCACCGCCTCCACCACCGCCACCACCGGTAGCACCACCACCACCACAGGTAGCACCACCACCACCGCCACAGGTAGCACCACCGCCACCACCACCACCGCCACCACCACCACCACCACCACCACCGCCACCACCACCACCACCACCACCACCACAGGTAGCACCATCACCACCACCACCACCGCCACCACCAACGCCACAGGTAGCACCACCACCACCACCACCACCGCCACCACCACCACCACCACAGGTAGCACCATCACCACCACCACCACCCCCACCACCACCATCACCATCACCACCACCACCACCACCGCCACCACCACCACCACCACCGCCACCACCACCACCACCACCACCGCCACCACCGCCACCACCGCCATTGTTGTCTGCGTTGGCAGCGTGAGGCTTCTGTTGAACAAAAACGTACAACGTGACGATGAAATGTGATTAGGTGAGGAGGTGGCGAGGAGGTGGCGAGGAGGTGGCGAGGAGACAGCATCGTCCAACGTCGACCACCATCAACACCACCAGCATCACCGTCACACAAATGTCACGATCGTTAGGGGGGGGAGGGGGGTCTGGCCAGCCCCCCCAGGTCGAATCGGCCATAAAAGAACACCCACACACACACACACAGACAAAGATCCCCCGTGTAGCCTCTAGCAGGCTGTAGGGGGCAAGTGCTGTTAGTAGCGAGTAGCACCACCTATGATATACACACAGACAAAGATCCCCCGTGTAGCCTCTAGCAGGCTGTAGGGGCAAGTGCTGTTAGTAGCGAGTAGCGAGTAGCACCACCTATGATATACACACAGACAAAGATCCCCCGTGTAGCCTCTAGCAGGCTGTAGGGGGCAAGTGGTGTTAGTAGCGAGTAGCATCACCTATGATATACACACACAGACAAAGATCCCCCGTGTAGCCTCTAGCAGGCTGTAGGGGGCAAGTGCTGTTAGTAGCGAGTAGCACCACCTATGATATTACACACAAACAAAGATCCCCCGTGTAGCCTCTAGCAGGCTGTAGAGGCAAGTGCTGTTAGTAGCGAGTAGCACCACCTATGATATACACACAGACAAAGATCCCCCGTGTAGCCTCTAGCAAGCTGTAGGGGCAAGTGCTGTTAGTAGCGAGTAGCACCACCTATGGTATACACACAGACAAAGATCCCCCGTGTAGCCTCTAGCAGGCTGTAGGGGCAAGTGGTGTTAGTAGCGAGTAGCACCACCTATGATATACACACAGACAAAGATCCCCTGTGTAGGCTCTAGCAGGCTGTAGGGGGCAAGTGCTGTTAGTAGCGAGTAGCACCACCTATGATATTACGGACGAAGATTCCGTGTACCCTGTAACAGCTCCTCACACAATCCAGTCTGGTTAAACCCAGGATGGATCGTAGGCAGGCCAGCCTCAAAGTTTCTAACCGGCGAAGATGCTCCATTAGGGGGGTCCACGTTTCGCAAGCGTAGAGAAGGGAGGGAATAACTGTGGCCGAGAAGACCTGAAGCTTAGTGCGGAGCGACAGACCAGGTAGCTTCCACACAGCGTTACGCAACCGATGAAAAGATATTGCCGCTCGACTGATTCGGAGTGAGACCTCTGCTGTTAAACTGGAGCCGGTCATAAGCACACTGCCCAGGTATGGGAAACTCTCCACTCTCTCCACAACTGCCCCATCACCGATTGGGAGTTGTGGGGGTGGAGTGTCCGAGGGTACAAAATACCCAGGCAGGTGCTTAGTTTTGTTGGGGCTGATGGTAAGGCCCCACCTCTTAGTGGCACGCTCCAGTCTCAGCAGCAGCGTCTCCAACTCCTCCTCTGAGCGAGCAGCAATCACCAGATCATCGGCGTACGTAACGTGGTTGAGCAACAGGAAGCCATCCCTTGACCGCACCCGGGCATCGATCAGCCTCCCATTATATCTGTACCAGACGGAAATTCCTCCGGTACAGCTACTGAAGGCGAGACCCTCTGCTGTCAAACCGGAGCCGGTCACGAGCACACTGCCCAGGTATGGCAAAATCTCCAACTCCCTCCACAGCTGCTCCATCACCGGCTGGGAGTTGCGGTGGTGGAGTGTCCGATGGCACAAAATACCCAGGCCACAAAGATGAAGATCCCCCGTATAGCCTCTAACAGACTGTTGGGGCAAGTGCTGTTTAGCGAGCACCACCTATGAAGGCCGGTAACGGCACACAAGGGGGTGGGTGGCCAGCACCATGCCTGGTCACCTTTGCCTTACCGGTGGCGATGTTTACTCCACATGTGTACCAGGTACTCATTTGAGGCCGAGTCGACCTAGGGGAGGCCCAGGGCCGGTTCAGATAATCGCTGTCACTGTGGTGGTGGTGTTGGCCGTGAGTGGGAATCAAACTCAGGTTGACAGGTTTGTAGCGCAGCGTAGCGCTAGCCACTACTACACTATACACCACTACACTATATACACCACTACACTATACACTACACACTACTACACTATACACTACTACACTATATACACCACTACACTACTACACTATACACCACTACTACACTATACAAGACAATACACCATACACTCTATACACCACTACACTATATACACCACTACACTATACACTACACTATGCACTACTACACTATGCACTACTACACTATGCACTACTACACTATACACTACTACACTATGCACTACTACACCACTCCACTATACAAGAACTATACTACACTAGACACTACTACACCATACACTACTACACCATACACTCTATACACCACTACACTATACTATACACCACTACACTACGCTATATACACCACTACACACTGCTACACTACACTATACACGACTACACTACAACACTACAACACTATAGACTACGACACTATACACCACTACACTATAGACTACACCACTACACTATACACCACAATACACCACTACACTACACCACTCTATACACCACTACACTATACACTACGACACTATATACACCACTACACTATACACCACTATACTACACTAGACACTACACTACTACACTACACCATACACTCTATACACCACTACACTATAGACTATGACACTATACACTACTACACTACACTATACACTACAACACTACACTATAGACTACGACACTATACACTACTACACTACTACACTACACTATACACTACTACACTATACTATACACTATACACTACTACACTACACTATACACTACAACACTACACTATAGACTACGACACTATACTATACACTACTACACTACACTATACACTACTACACTACACTATACACTACAACACTACACTATAGACTACGACACTATACACTACTACACTACACTATACACTACTACACTACACTATACACCACTACACTACACTATACACTACTACAATACAACTCTATACACCACTACACTATACACTACAACACACTATACACCACTACACTACACTACTACACTATACACTACACTATACACTACTACACTACAACACACTATACACCACTACACTATACACTACAACACTATACACCACTACACTATACACCACTACACTACAACACTCTATACACCACTACACTATACACTACAACACCATACACCACTACACTATACACTACACACTACTACACTACAACACTCTATACACCACTACACTATACACTACGACACTATATACACCACTACACTATACACCACTACACTATACACCACTATACTACACTAGACACTACACCATACACTCTATACACCACTACACTATAGACTATGACACTATACACAACTACACTACACTATACACCACTACACTACACACTACTACACTACACTATACACTACAACACACTATACACTACTACACTACACTATGACACTATACACTACACACTACACTATACACCACTACACTATACACTACTACACTACAACACTCTATACACTACTACACTACACACTACTACACTACAACACTCTATACACCACTACACTATACACTACAACACACTATACACCACTACACTATACACTACAACACTATACACTACTACACGATACACTACAACACACTATACACCACTACACACTACACTATACACTACAACACTCTATACACTACACTACAACACACCATACACCTCTACACTACTACACTATTACACTATACACTATACACTACAACACTCTATACACCACTACACTATACACTACACTATTACACACCACTACACTACACACTACTACACTACACTATACACTACTACACTATACACTACTACACTATACACTACTACACTACACACCACTACACTATACGCTACGACACTATACACTACAACACACTATACACTACTACACTACCGCTCCCCACTGTGCCACACTCACGCTCACCTCATCATCACCATCACCACCATCACCATCGTCGTCATCATCATCGTCGGCCCCCGACACCTCGTCGCCGGCGCGGCCAAACAGCCGCCGGGCCAGGCGCAGGACCCCCCTGGTGAAGGACTCCTCCTTGCGTAGGTAGCCCCCCACGTCGTCCAAGGCCCACAGGAAGGCCTCAGCAGGGCCGTCCAGCAGGGCGGCGGAGGCTTTGGTCGCCTCCTCGCCCACAGACCGGACAGCCGCGTCCACGAGGGAGCGCTCGGAGCGGAGACGCAGCGCCGCCGCCGACGCCGATGATGATGATGATGATGAAGAAGAAGAAGATGAAGAAGAGGAGGAATTGTCGAGGCAGTGGAGCAGAGACCGCGCCCTCGCCTGCCGCTGAACTTCGATCCACTCGAGTCTCCTGCACGCACGCGGGGAGGGGAAGGAGGAGAGAGGGAGGAGAGAGCGAGGAGGGAGTTATGGGTGGGAGTAAGCGAGACCACTGGGGTCAGGGTTCAAGCCCTGGGTCTGGGTGTCTCTCTCTCAGGGGGTTCACGATGGCCGTGTCAGAGACACTGAGACCCTGGGTTCAGGGTTCAAGCCCTGGGTCTGGGTGTCTCTCTCAGGGGGTTCACGATGGCCGTGTCAGAGACACTGAGAGCCTGGGGTCAGGGTTCAAGCCC